AAGGGTGGAATTGCTTTTTTATTTTGAACTGATGTTGCTACGTGTACCTTCCCACCGGCCGGATATGAGTGGGCCCGTTTCCCCACACTCGCTATCTCCTCCACTTGGTAGCTCTCGAGAAACCGGTGGTGGAAAGGAGTCGGTGAGCTTGTGACATCTGGTTCTGCGGGGAACCAATCATTTGGTCCAGAGGATAAGCAGAATCGGGAGCGAAGAAGTCCAGGGGAAAAAAAAAAACATCAGAGAGCCCCTCTCGGAAAGGCCAAGGGACCCACAGTGGGAGCCAAGGGGTGACAGGTTTCGTTCGCTCATTTGCCACATGCTTACAAGTGTGCACAATGTCCCAGGCCCCAACTTCGCCCAGCAGTGAACAGATCACCGGCCCTGCCCTCCTGGAAGCCACGTCTAGTGCAGGAGACACAAAGTAACCAAGTCAGCTAGTACAAGTCATTTCAGGCAGCGCTTGGAGCTACCGAGAGAGAAGGAGAGAGAGAGAGAGAGAGTTCAAAGAGCGGAAAAGGGCCAGAGAGGCCGAAGCCTGTGGAGGTGAGGGGAAAGGGGGAGGACCGAGTGCCACGTGGGGTGTGGATTCCACACACTGGGACACCTCTGGAGGGTGTATTGGTCAAGGTTGAGGACCAGCTGACTTTTTTAAATTAAAAACATTTTTTTTAATGTTTATTTTTGAGAGACAAGAGAGACAGAGCATGAGCTGGGGAGGAGGAGAGAGGGAGAGGGAGACACAGAATCCGAAGCAGGCTCCAGGCTCTGAGCTGTCAGCACACAGCCCGATGCGGGGCTCGAACTCACTGACTGTGAGATCATGACCTGAGCCGAAGTCGGACGCCCAACCCACTGAGCCACCCAGCGTCCCCAGGACCAGCTGCTTTCTAAGGGTGCCTCTCGGCAGCCTGAGAGACAATGGCACTGGGACAAGGAGTTGGGACAGAGCTGGAGAGAAGTGCACGGAACAGGCACAGCTCTGTATCAGCAGGATTTCTAGCATCAGCAGAAAAGAAGGAAGCAGAGAAACAGCCCTTGGGGGGCGGGGGGGACCCTTCTGGTTATGTATTGTTGTGTGACAAACTACCTTAAGCTACTCTGGTTTGACGGCGGGAAACAACAGCCATTTGATTGAATCTCGTGATCTGTGGGTTAGGGCTCAGCTAGGGGACTCTTCTGTTCCAAGTGGCCTCGCTGGGGACACTGTGTGGTACTCAGCAGGAGATGCCGCTGGGCTGGAGGGTCCAATATGGCTTCCCATTCATACCTGGGCTGGGATGGCTGAACAGCTGGGGCCTTCCATGTGGCTAGCTTGGGGTCCCTTAGCCAATCAACCATGGCAGCCTTGGGGCAGTCAGACTTCTGACATGGGCAGCACAGGGGCTCCAAGAGGGAGTGTCCCAAAAGACAGGAGGAGGAAGCTGGCAGTTTTATAAGGCTTGGAACCTGGCGCAGTGACACTTCCGGTGTATTCTATCGGTCAAAGTGATTGCAGAGGCCACCGAATTCAAGGGACATGGACTCCCTTTCAATGGAGGGAGGTATCCGTGAATTTGCACTATCCTTATGTCCCAGAATGCTCCTTCACAGCCTTCTCTTAGTGTTGCCTGTCATATTATGTGCCCTGATCAATTTATTATTAATTAATTTTTTGAGAGACAGAGAGCAAACAGAAGAGGGGCAGAGAGGGAGGGAGAGAGAGAGACAGAGACAGACAGAGAGACAGAGAATCCAAAGCAGGCTCTGCACCATCACCACGGAGCCCGACGTGGGGCCTGAACTCATGAATTGTGAGATCATGACCTGAGTTGAAATCAAGAGTCAGATGCTTATCCCGCTGAGCCACCCAGGCGCCCCACGCCCTGATCAATTTAAATCTGCTTTGCCGTGTAGCAGGCTTCACTCCCAAGTTTCAACCAAGCTCAGTCGTGCAAGAAATATGTCTTGTGTTTCCTTGGGTAAGACTTTCTCAGCCTCAGTTCACTCGGGACCACGTAGTTGCAGGCAGCTGGCCTGTGCACGGTAGGATGTTCGGCAGCATCCCTGGCCTCCACGTTGTGACGATCACAAATGTCTCCAGGGATACCTGGGTGGCTCAGTGGGTTAAGCATCTGACTCTTAACTTTGGTTCAGGTCACGATCGCGGGGTTCGTGAGTTCGAGCCCCGTGTTGGGCTCTGCGCTGACAGCACGGAACCTGCTTAGGATTCTCTCTCTCCCTCTCTCTCTGCCCCTCCCCTGCTTGCACGCGCTTTCTCTCAAAATAAATAAATAAACTTAAAAAAAAATTTTTTTTTTTTAATGTCTCCAGACATTGCCAAATGTCCTGTGGGGACAAAATCGGCCAGGTTGAGAACCTGAACCTCGGGACCAACCCATTCTGACTCCAAGCCCCCTCCCTACCCAGCTTGTGAGGAAACATTACCCCAGTTACGACAAGGATTCTTGTCGGGGGATCTCGGGTTGCGGGGGGGGAGTGTGGCGCCCTAACCCTTAGGAAGAGCTCCAGTCCACTACCATGGCTGTTGTCAGTGTCCTCACTGGGCTCACCTCCACGGTTCCCTGAATCCAAAGAAGCTCTCCTCCCACCCCCCAACCCAACCCCGTACCTCGCAGAGGATACGGCCTGTGAGCACAGACTCTCTCACATGACGTCCTGCAAAGTTGTCCCCTGTGACTCTGGTCACCCGCCGGCTCAAAGTTCCCCAATCAAAGCTAGAAGACGGCTGGAGAGTCTGTGGGTCTATGCCCAGCTGACGGAGTTTGCTGACAGACCGGACGTGGTTGTGGAAGACAGGGGTGAAGGACACCTCCAGAGTTTTCAGCGTGAACCAGTCCAAGAATAAGGAGGACATTGATGGGAAGGAAGTCAAGGGAGGGACGATTTGGGGGGAGAATATTGAGAGCTCCGATTTGAACACATCGGGAAGTCCATTAGCCACCAAGTGGAGACATTAAGGAGACAGCGGGGTGGACAAGCCTAGAACTTGGGAGCAAGATCTGGGCTGAAGATAGAATTGTGGGAGTCATCTGAGACGGTATTTATAGCTACGAGACTGACTGAGATTACCCTGAGAGGGAACGTCAGTGGTGAGGTCCCAGGCTCGGCTCTGGGGCTCTCATACGAATAATTATCAGATAATAATTACCATCATTTTATTCTTTGAAGCATCTGGCACGCTGCCTGGCTCCGTAGACAAGTTCACTGAATGGAACAGAATGCTGTGGCACTTTACTTCCCCCCCACGCTTTCCCTGCTCCTCAGGATTTAGATTCTACCTCAGCAGGAAAGCAGGGAGTTAGAATCGCTCGGTTAAGTGCGCGTGAAAATATTCTTTAGGCATTTTTCAGAATCCGGAATGGAACTCTGCTCTCGCTGGCTTGCAGAAGGAAAATCAGGCTGTCTTAAATTCCCACTCCAAAGTGAAAGTTCTTACCAAAACAAAATTCCACGTTCCACAGACCCCGAGAGTTCTGAGCTGCAACGATTTCCTAACCCACATGCTCTGGAGTTTGCTGGGCTCCAGCTCGTTTTCCTTCTTCTGATAGCGGGAGAATTTTTAATTTGGGGGGGGGGTGCTGTTCTGCAGAGAATTTGGTCACACACGTTTACTCCTTCAGTCTCTCATTCGCTCCAGGATCTACGACCTCAGAATCGACTCCAAAGACAGGCTTCGGCATCTTGCTCCCCACCCTTGAGAGCAGAAAGCACCAAAATAGCAGCATGAATCACTCGGAAACCGTCATGTAATGCACGGGCCAGGACACCTTCTGCGGCACAGCTTCTGCTTGTGTTCCAGGAATCTGGGGAAGGGGACACTGGCGGACTGCATCACCGCCTCCCCGTCCCACTCGAGAGAGCTCTGAATCTACAAAGAGATTTGAAGAAGCCCAAGTCGGTAAAAAATTATAAGAGCTGACATTTTTTAACATTCAGGAGTGACTCTACCGTGACCTTGGATAAACTTAAGCTTTAGGGTCTTCTATTCACAGCCCTTCTAATTTGTATTTTTGTCTTCTCAAAGGCGGCTTTCAAAATTTTGTTTTGGGTCTGACAAGACTTGAGTGTGGATTATTTTGTCCTGTCCTCAGAGTAACCTTGGGAAGTCCTTGGAACTTCATCATCTCCATTTACAGGCAAGGACACTAGAGCATAGAAAAAGCCTTCTTTGGGTTCCTTGAAAATTTCAAACTTGTTTTAACCTCAGGGCCTTTGCACCTTCTGTTGTCCTGTCTGGAACTCTGTTCCTGGCTGGCTTCTCATCACTCCAGGTCCAAGGGGCCTTCACTACTAACCACCTGCCTCTAGGAGCTCCTTCCTTCCCTGCTTCCCTGGTTACTCTCTATCCCTTATCTTTTGCTATTTTTATAGCACTCATCACTCTCTAGTTATCTTCATTTCTACATTTGTTCTTAACAAATGCATATAGTGCTTGCTCTTTAGGCAGGCAACGTTCTAAGTGCTTTACAAATATCAAACCATTTGGGCGCCTGGGTAGCTCAGTGGGTTGGGCATTGGGCTCTTGATTTCGGCTGAGGTCACGATTCCCTGGTTCGTGGGTTCAAGCCCTGCATCGGGCTCCACCGCTCCCACCGTCAGATTCTCTCTCTGTGCCTACCCCACTTGCATGCACAGGTTCTCTCTCAAAATAAACATTTTTTTAAAAAAAATCAAACAACTCGATCTTCACAACTCTGACGTTAACTTTTTCGGGGCCTCCAGGCGTGCATTCGACTCTTGGTTTTGGCTAAGGTCGTGATCCCAGAATCATGGGACCAAGCCCCGTGTCGGGCTCCGCACTGAGTGTGGAGCCTGCTTAAGATTCTCTCTCTCTCTCTCTCTCTCTCTCTCTCTCTCCCTCTCTCAAAAACAAAACCCTTTTTCATCCATATTTTAAAATAGAAGCAACGGAAACACAGGGAGGCTAAGCAGGGTGCTTGAAGTCACGCAGATGAGTTGACTAGCATCTCTCTCTCTGGCTAGAAGACACCACCCACCCCAACGGAAGCCGCGTCTGTGAACGGCGGCCTTCACTGTTGAGCCCCTGCCTCCGGAGTAGCGTGCCGCCTGTAACAGGACCATGGAGATGTCAGTGGTGACGAGACCGGGTTATGCAGAGGGAGGAACGGGAAAGAAGCCTGGAGAACAGCTGTGGGGGGAGGCAGCAGTGGGATCAGCAAGAGTGCGGTGGTCTGCAGACATTGCCAAGGACCAATGAAAGATCTCGTGGACGGGGGTATTTAGCGGATGAGTTAAGAGAGGCCCAAAGCCTCGGAATCACCTGCCTCCTTCATGCCCCGCGTCCGAGGCACGAACAGATCCTGTTGGCTCCTCCAGAAGTTGGATTCCCAACTTTTCCCACCCCTCCTCCGCTCCCACTGTGGCCCACGGCACCGTCGCCGCTCCCCTGGAATACCGCAATGGTCTCCTAAGAGGTCACCTACACTGCAGCCAGAGTCCCGATCCGTCAGATCACGTCACTTTTCTGTTGAAAACGTGCTGGCATGAACACAATGGCCTCTCACCCTGGCAGGACCCGGCCCTTGCTTCCTCTTGACCCAGCTCTCCCACTTCCTCCCTGCTCCCACCATTCTGGCCACCTCGGTACAGCTTCCACCCCAGGACCTTTGCATGTATTGTTGCCTCGGACTGCAAGGTTCTTCTTCAGATTTTCCATCAGACTCACTCCCTTACTTCCTCAGGCCTTTTCTCAAATATGACCTTCTCACTGAGGTTTGTGTCCTGGCCAGGTTAAGAATGTAACACCATCACCCTCACCTAACACTCCTTAATCCATTCCCTGCTTCATTTTTTCTCCACTACACTTAAGCAGATATGCCCTAGAAACTTTTTAGGTGCGTCTCCCTCGCCACGATGAGTGCCACAGGGGGTGCCTGGGTGGCTCAGTCGGTTAAGCTCCTAACTGGCTCCGGGCACGATCTCACAGCTTGTGGGTGGGTTTGAGCCCCGCGTCGGGCTCTGTGCTGACAGCTCAGACAGAGCTTGGAGGCTTCTTTGGATTCTGTCTCTCTCTCTCCACCCCTCTCCTGCTCTCTCTCAAAAAGAAATGAAGACATTAAAAACAATTCTGGAAGGAGTGCCACCAGAACAGCGATTTTTGTCAGCTTTCTTTACTGCATTTTCTCCAGCGGACCGTCGCACCTGACACATTCGATGATATTCGATGGGTTGATGAACACCTACTATGTACCAGACCCTGTGCAAAAACGGACACACTTATGGTCCACAGTGAAAGCAAGTGAGAGTGGGCAGAAATTAGTCTACTTGTTGGAGACGGACTGTTAAGGAACCTTGACAGCCCATCTCGGCCCCGCAGGGCGCGGGAATCAACCCGGCAGAGTTGGTGGAAGGGGGAACCCAGCAGAGGGAACAGTTTGCAGGCAGGCTCGGAGTGAAGGAGCCCACCTAGGAGAGGTCAGGGGGCCGGAGGCTGGTGCTGAAAATGGGAGGGCAGGGAAGGAGGCGGCCAAAGCAGGCCTGCCAGATCACACAGGCCCTGAGCCCCAGTCTAAAGCCTCCAAGAGTTTCAAGCAAGGGGTGTGGATCTGCAGTGACCTTGGCTGCAAGGTTAAGAACGGACCAGAGACAGCTGGGATAAAGAGGAAGCTGTGGAGACAAGCCATTGCCATAGAGGGGACACTTAAAACCCTGGGCAGGGACGGCACTGGGGACGGAAGGGGGGCTACAAGGACACAGCAGGCCCCAAGACCCTCATCCAAGACTTCTGCAGACCTGTCGTGCGGCTTCTTTGTTCCGTGAGGCACACACCGGCCCAGGAGGAAAAACCAGCTTCTCTCCTCCACGCTCTAAACCCTTTGGCTGCCCCGGGTGCTCTCGCACGTTGCCCTGCCTCTCGGCTGCAAAAGGCCCTCCCGGGGCCGCCACCGCCCGCCAGTAGGTGACCGAGCGCGTCACTGACGTCATTGTCCCCCCCCCCCCATCCTCAAATAATGGCTCCCTTCACCGAGCGGTAAAGAAATTACTGCATGAACGGGACACCTCCCACGGCCCCGCACTGTCCGACCCGTTAACACGAGGGGATCCAGCGAGTCCCCCCGGCCTCCCCAGGGTGAGACCCCGGGTCCGTCCCACCCAAGTCCCAGCTCCTTCGGTGTTTTCGACCCTTCGGCTACTAACGGCGGGATCTGGGTACGGCCCGGGAGCTCTCCCGAGGTCGACCCAGACGTCGCCCCCACCGGCCGGGACCCGGGGGCTCTGCGTCGCCGGGGAGCAGCGGGTCGCCTGGGCCGGACTCGCAGTCCACGGAGCCGGGAAGCGGCGCTGAGACCACCCCCCCTCCCCCCAGGCCGCCAGAGCCACCGCGGCAGAGAACCGCGGGGTCCTGAGGTTCCCATAAACCCCTGCAGAGGTGAAACCCCGCCTTTTGAAGGGTAGCCGTTTAAGCCTATCACCGCAGAGTGTCGGCAACTCTCCGCCCAATCGACTTTTTTTTTTTTTTTTTTTTTTTTTTTTTTTAACCTGAAGGAGGTTCCCTCACGGAGTCCGTCAGCCCAATGGGAGAGGTGGAAATTTCCAGAAAGAACAGGACCAATGGGCGCGGCCAGCGCGGCCACAATTGGCGGGCCAAGCGACCAATCCCCGTCGCAGAAGGGCGCCCCTCCCTCCAATCGTGGAGTCTGGGGTGGGCGGGGCTTGTCGGGAAGAGTCCAATCCGGAGGCGCGGAGGAGGCAGGGCTGAGGGCTTACTCTCAGGTGTCCAATGATAGAGAAGCAAAGATGATGGGCCAGACTTCAAGCCAATAGTAGGGAAGGATAGAAAGCCCCCTCGGGGAGCGCGACCAGTGAGCAGGCGAGGAAGGGGCGGGATCCGGGGGTCCCGGCAGCTTCTAGTAGGTTCCAGAAGGCGGCGCGTGCGGTTGGGAACGCGGAGCGGACGGAGTCGATTCAACGGGGTTCCGGGCCGGGCTATGGAGCAGGTGAAGGGGGAGGGGCGGGCCGAGGCCCCGGGGCCA